GCTTTGCATGGTCTGAAATAGAATGTGGCTATAAAAGAGGTCTCATCAGAGGCTACAAATTCAGCTTGCAAAATGCAGATGGCCAAGAACTTATCACTAGTGAGACAAGTGAGCGTCAGTGGGAAGTTGACAACCTTATTCCATTTACTGAATACATTTTCAGTGTAAAAGGTTTCAATTCCAAGGGTGATGGAGAAAGCAAAGAATTAAGTATAACAACGAATGAGTCAAGTAAGAACGTTTTTCACTTATGCTTAGCTATATAAATATTGTTTTTTGTTATATACAGTATATGCATATAATTTTATCAATACTATGGCCGAGAGCTTTTCCATCTCATTCACCTTTTAATGTGCAAATGACAAATATATTAGCACTGATTTCTGATTAAAGCTGCATTTACATCAAATCCAATCTAACATTCGGACCTTGTTTATTATATGCTGAACATCAGTCACTATTCTTACATACTGATCCAATTTTCTGGTCAGTTCGGAAGGCTTTCAAATTCAAAAAGTAGGACTAGGTGAGAATTTACCATTAATACCAACACTTCTATGTAATATATTGATAGTAATAATACCTATTTTACTGATTGTGTTATTTTAATTTCTTTTGATGATACTCATTACACCATGGACCTATTAATAATCTTATTAATAGGTCCATGATTACACTTTCCAAATTTTGTTTTCTACTTTCCCTTTTTTGTGAATTGTGATATTTGTTTTACAGTATATTAATAAAACACCCTATATACATATATGTCAATTTTAGGTATCACTTTTTTTGTTTATTGTTTTTAATTTCATGATTGTTCTTTTTCCTTGATGTTTTGATCATTCATGGCAAATGCAATGAATGTTTAATTTTGGGATGTCTTTTTATAGTTCCTTCTGATGTAAGGAATATTGAGATCCGTAATACAGATACCAAGTCATTTCGAATTAAATGGTCAAGACCAAAGCCACCCAATGGAATAGTTGTCATGTACCAGATCAATTACACAGTAATGGATGGATTTGAAAATGACCACATGTCAGTCCAATATGATGTACCTGATGGAGAGAGGGACAAAATTGATTTCATTACCACTATTGTAGACCTTCAGCCAAATACTAATTACTCTGTTCAGGTATCTGGTATTGATTGGAATTTTGGTGAATGCTGTATGGTGGTAGCATTGGTGGTGAATGATAGTGATGGTGGTAGTCATGATACTGATGGTGTTATGGTGGTGGTTGTGGTGCTGGGAATGTTGTTAATGATATGGAGTTGGTGGTTTGGAGGTGGTGGTAGTGGTGGTGAATGGTAGTAATGGGGGTAATCATGGTACTGATGGTATTATGGTGGGGGTTGTAGTGCTGGGAATGGTGTTAGTGATGGTTATGGAGTTGATGGTTTTGGAGATTGATGATGGTGTGGTTGTGGTGATCATGAATGTGGTGGTTAGTTATGGTTGTGGAAGTGGTTGTGATGAACATCCAAAAAGCATTTATATAACCAAATCATGTAACCATCTTACTAGCTAAAGCTGAGCCACGAAGGATACCACTATGTTATTGATAACCAATATATAATATAATAATACCAGCTACCAAGTGCAACTGTACCAACCTCTGGCAGTGTCCTACAATGTCAGATGCTTTGAATGCTTGGCGATTGTACCACAGTCAACTGAGAATTCAAAGCCTGGCTGCAAGTCTCAAAATTTGCCTTTTAGTGCTGATTCTTCGCATTGTATTTTACGTTTCGGGCAGTGAGTTACGATTTTTAAAGCAACCATCTCATGTCATGTAAACAAGCACTGAAAGAATATTGTCGCTCAAATTGCACACGTTTATCTCATGCGTACAAAACACAAGTAAGGGCGAAAGAGCTATGAACACTACTGTATACAGCCATATTGGTGTTCATTTACAATGTTATCGTTAATTACACATTTATGTTTTTTACTTCGACAAGGCTGCTGCTTTTACTTTAGTTGGAATTGGACCGTGGAGTGACGAATTTTATGTTTTCACAACTACCGGTAGTAAGTTGATATTGTGGTTTGTTAATGTGTTTTGTGATTGTGGTGTTGGTATATAACTATAGCCATTACATATTGTAGCCACACATAGTTTAAGATTAATAGATAAGTTTTGATTTGAAATTGGGTTTCTTTCACACGAGACCACTTTTAAAATTCACATTTTTTTGGTTTACCCATCATAAGAGGTTTGGTATTTAAGTTGAAAATAAATAATAAATAATAAATTAATAAAGGATAATTAAGAGAGCAAAAAAAACATGTATTTGAAAAATCAGTGGTGGCTCCATAAGCTTGCTGATGGAGTCCAATAAGTCTGGCAGTGGAAGGTGGTTGTCTAAAAGGGGAAGGTCCCCCCTGACCCCTGCTAATGCTGCTACTGAGTAGAATTAATGTTTAGTATTTAAATGATTTATTTAAATGATTTTTTTATTTTTTAGTATTTAAATGATTTATTTTAATATTTTTTCTTTAATTGGTGCCTTATCAATTCTGAACATTTTGTTGTTAATTTATATATATATACATATATTTTGCTTGGTTTTTGTAAGCCTATAAGAAAATCAGTGTTTTCAATTGTCAATCAATTTGTCAATTGTCAATCAATTTGTTAATTTGCCATTTTTGTTGAATAATTGCCAAATTTTGATTATTTTTCTTTAATTCTTTGGAAATTCCTTGACAATGGTTTTTTTTAAAATAAAATAATTATTATTTATTGTTTTAGCTTAAGTGAAATAAATATATACATATTTTTGTTTTCTATCAGTTTTCATTTTACATTGCCTTTTAATTGATTTATCATTTGTTCCCAGCTAAAAAAACTATTTAATTTTTCATGTTATAGCCAATAAATGTTTTTGTTTATTCAGCATCAATGGTGAAGAAACTTTTAAGAATGATCAGGCTCTTTCCTAGCATAACTGAACACAAGTGGTTAATAAATATGCAACAGAAATCAAAGTTGAATCATCACTTTGTAGATGTGTACAATATTAGTATACTAAGGTTGACTTACAATCAAAATTGTATTTGCGATTATAATATGGTTTCTTTCCATCTGTGTTTTTTTTTTTTTTTTTTTTTAGAACCAGGCCCTGTTGACAATTTACTTGTTGAATATGCTACAGAAACAGATTTATATATGACATGGGAACGACCTCTGAACCCAAATGGGGTCATTACCAACTATCATGTGAGTTCTTGGCATGAACAATTTAGAAAATAATTTTATAGAATATTTTTGAAATACATTTAATTTATCCCTGTACTCTATATTCAGTAGAAAGCTTTCAGTATCTTGGTTGGGGACAAGTCACTTAGAAAGTGTTTTTTCTTTATGTGTAATGTTACCGGGTACAGTACGTAGTTTTAAATCATCACATATTCAGGGGTCCCAAGTTGGAAAACCAATTTCTGGGAGATTCTTTTAATGACATTGGGAGTGCTACATATTCTATGAGGAAAAAGTGTAGGTACTAAACAAAGGGCCACGCCCACCTCAGGCCCACCATGATTGGGGCTAAGGTGATGACATTTTTTTTAGAATAGGCATCTTTAGAAGCCAGAAATGGAACTGTCAGACTGCAAAAAATAATCAACAACCAAATTTTAGGCCTAAATAAAACAAAAAGATTTGTTTTTTATTGAATTTGTGGGAGATAAGTGAATTTTCGGGAGGTTTTTACTTGTTTGCAGGAGTGCGGGAGACCGTACCGATTTCCAGGAGACTCCCGGGTGTTCCGGTAGACTTAGGACCCCTGCATACTCATCGCAGGATTCAGCCTCTGGATCCATGAGCAATGAGTTGAGGATCAAAATTTGCAACATTTCTAATTATATTTCATATCCAGTAATTTCATAAGACATCAAGCAAATCACCATTGTCAATATTGACAGCATATTTTACTGATTTTTCCCAAAACTATTTACATAATCCATGTATTTTGTCCGCACAGTAGACTGGCCTAGCCATACTTGTAGGCCTACCGTTTTTATGTAGCATGTTTTGTTACTCCTCAAACCCAATATATAAAATAGGCTCCTGGAATTTGTAAGCATACTGCAGACGCTAATTCAAAATTACTCTAAATATAGCCTAGATCATTGTCTGACAACCTGCTATCAGCCATTAGTCATCTGTCGTTAAAACATAGGTCTGCACTGTACTTGACATGCGTGTCAAATAATATCAATTGAAGTGAACCTTAACACATGTATGCTGTTTTACACAGAAATTTCTTACACAAGAATTTTTAATACATTTCTAAAGCCTTCCATAAAAATTGCTACATGCTATCGGCGACTCTTTGGCGATGCTGATTGGTCAGTTGGATCTGGGAGCGTTCCCGATTTTGTCTGAGACAGCTACGCAGTGCAAGGGTTGCAGTGTACTGTAGCGAATGTGTAGCGATTTTATGGAAACCAGGCTTTACACAGGAATTTCACGACAGCATAGATTATATCTGCGCAAGCGCAGTATACACACAAGGGAATTCAATACAATTGCAATTTATGTGATCAGTATACTCAAGTATGAAATATAAATAAATGTAGATGTAATTTATTATTATTATTATTATTATTATTATTATTATTATTATTGTTATTATTATTTTTATTATTATTTTTATTATGTTACTAAAACCTACCTTAAGGGGAACTTAGACAATGGAGAAATTAGAGAACAATTAAAAAAACGACATTAAGTGGAAATAACATGATATTATGGGAAAAATAACACAAAAGATATTCCCCTTTAATCCGACTTAGCGCATATTATTATTATTATTATTGTTAATAAATGAAATATAATTAAACGTAGATGTAGTTTATTATTGTAATAATAAATATTATTATTGTTATTGTTAATATTTTTGTTAATTTTATTATTGCTTTTGTTGTTAATGTTTACACTGATATTCATGTTCATTTTTAAACTGTTTTCATTTCAGGTACAATACAAAATCCTAAAGAAAATTTTTGAGCCTGATGCAGAAACTACTTTGGAAAGGAATCAAACACACAGTGTCGGAGTTAATTTAGTATGTTTGCTGTCAAACCTCGAGCCAGCCACAACTTATGAAATCATAGTTTATGCTGAAACATCTGCAGGGAGGGGTGAACCAAGCAAAGTAATTAATACCACTCTCACCCCACCAGGTCAGGCTATTTCTTTGCTATATCATAATAATTTTCATAGTTTTATTGATATAGGCCTACTCAGTTTTGCATTAATTAACTGATTTGCATGAAATTTATAAATCCTTTAAGTGACAGTGATAAAATGAAACAAAGATCCATCTATAGGTATTTATTTTGATTATTTTAAAACTTCCAAATGTAAAAATATGTTATGTAGTTCTTTGGATTGTTTGTTTTTTTATTTGTTCTCCTCCTTTGTCGTGGTTGTTTAAAGTTTCCATTCCATAAGTGTTGGGCTCCCTTGTTGTTTCATGTGATTTGATTCAAAATAAAATAAACCAATGCAAAAATAGATTAATTGAAAACACTGTAAAATAGATATGAAGAAGAGTAAATAAAAAAAAAACACTGGAATTCATTATTTTATTTCACAAGAATTAATTGATTGCAAAGATCTAGATCAAATGACCTACAAATGTTTACAAAGTTGGAATACAGATATTCCAGTGACTGGAAATGTTTTGCAGTAAAAATTATGGGTGAACATTTTTTAAATGCACTAATTTCTATGTTGAAGTTAATGCTTTTTATGTTACTTGAAAATGAGCAAGTTAATTTTAAAAATAATTTTTTGGGATATTTTGCATTTGGACGTTACATCTGTAAGAATAAATATATAATTCGTTTTTATACCAATATTTTGCCTTATCAGTTCATATTAAAATCATTTTATGTTCTATTTGCATATTTAGTGGAAAAGGGTAGTCACCCCAAGCTATCAGTCATCTCAAAAACAGATACAACAATTACAGTGAAACTGGAACCTATTCCAAATTTCATCTTTGTCAGGTTAGAAATTACATTTTATATTACACCTAAATAGATCCTTGACATTTGGTGGATTTTGTATCACATGACATTGGTTATTGACACCCTTTTGTCACTCATGGGAGTTCCACCATGCATTTTTAGTTCCATTCATGCATTTTTGTTCCATTCTATTGCATGCCTCAACCTAATACAACCTTTTTATTGGATGCTCTCCTGTTTCATTCAGGAAAAAGGTAGATTTTTTCATGAAAATATCAAATGACAAGAATCTATTTTAGGTGTTGTATAAAACAAATAATTATTATTTTTTATTCATGCAGTGAAAAGAATATTTTCATGAGTTGAACTCAACTCAGCTCTCAACTCAGCTCTACCTTGTTGAATGGAACAGTCAATCTTTCAACTCATGAAAATATTCTTCCCATGGCACTCATAAACATTCATTATTTGTATACTATGACAACCAGAAAATTCATGTCTTTGAATGATTAAGATAATGTAGACAGCACTACAAACAAGAATGTAATGTGATATATGTATATTTATATAGCTCTTTATGCCAAAGCATCAAGTGCTCGATAAGTGGCTAGCTAGTATGGTCTCTTGAAGTGATCTTTTCTAGGTGACTGTCAATGGGTGACCAAAAGCTTATTTTTATTTGGTAGTGCTGTCTCATCTTCATTCCTACATACTATCATTTAAATGACATAGGTTACAAACTTTAAGTATTTGAAAACCTTTCTCTGTTAATTTAATTAATGTTATTGTGAATATGGCGATGATGTTGATAATGATGATGGGGCTTGTAAAGATATTGATGATGATGATATCACAGATTATGTTGATTACTATTATGATATTGATGCTAAAGATGTCTGACGGGGGGGGGGCTAAGTATTTATGGGTGTAACTATAGTACGCAGCGTTATCTGAGGGCTGAAGGCCCGAGCCAGGGGTGGGTATGGGAGGGGGTGTCCCCTCCTCCCAAAACAAGATTTTTTTAAATATTGGGACTTCTAGATGGCCGGAAATGGTCCGACTGCCTGACGAGCTTTGGCCAATGGGGTGGGGGGGCTTGACCAAACCAATTGGGGGGGTGCTTAAGGCACATTCACAGATGGAGGATCTGTACCACCTCAGCCCAACCATGGTTAGGGCTGAGGTAAGAAAATTTGTGATTATGATACGTTTAGATGGCCAGAAATTGCACTCTCAGACTTTAAATTTGAATATAATAAAATTATCTTGTATCTTGTGTGTTTATAATGGGGATAATATTAAGAATGATGGCAGTTATAATAATGATGATGAATATTACTTTATTTGACATTTTTGCCAGGGAATACGTGATACTAGTTGACAAACATGCTGGAGCTAAACGACGAAATGCTGATGGCAATGATGGGAGGCACCAAGATAATCTCAATAAATACATCACTGCGGGTTTCCCGCCTGAAAATGTACCTAAAGAATTCATTGTGGGTGATGGGGAGACATATCTTGGATACGACAATAAGCCTCTGGTAAAAGGTGAAACTTATGGTTTGTCATTAGCTGTTCATAATCGAAATGGAGAATTCCAGACAAATGTAAGTTACTTCACAGGATATAGAATTGCAAGTGGTGCAACTGTCTTGATTTTGCATGTACTACCACGAGAAGAATTCAAATGTAGTTTGATATACGCAGCCCACGTTTGATACAAACCACTTTTACGTTTTTATACGTTTTTGAAGTACGTACAGTCCTTTAGTTTGTGGTAGTAATTTTCGAGATAGCATTCAATTTCAAGGAATCCTTGACAGTCGGATGTCTTGCTATTCTATGCTCTATAATATATTTGTAATTTCATTTTAACTTTGAATAGTTAAGATTGTAAGAGATAAAAATATGCTATGGTTAAATATTTAAATTAAAAAAAAATAATAGGCATATGTTCATTTTACTCCATATTCACATTTTAATTGATACCATTAACATAATTATATTTAATAATTTATTAGATTGACTATATTGTTTTAATGAATATCATTAAATACCAACTACAGTAATGCTGAAGTATAATTTTATTAATGAATATATTTTCTTTTTGTAGGGATTAGACCCAGTAATGGTTACAGGTAAGATTAATCATATTTTTCCTGCAGTCAAGTTGCTCACATTTGAATTGTGCAAATCACAATATTGCACATCATGCTGGCCTGATTTTGTTTCATAGTGGGAGTGGGGGCGGTTAAGTTAGGCATGTGCTAGAAACAGATTACTTTTTATGGCTTATTTACGGTATTTAAACAATTATTTGTCCAATAGGTGACACTTTCTTCATCATTCATCACTATTTTTATGTACAGGTCTCCCTCCAATTAATAACCACTTTTGGGACCGGGGTTTTCAGGGTCTTTAGCGGCTTTAGTCTCTAATAAGAATAATAAAGATGGAAACATTGTGAATTTGGGAAATGAGGTCTTTAATTAGAGAGGCCTTTAATTTTGTATATTCTTTCCCTAGTGGCCTGGGCCGGCCTTGTTCCTCTTCTTGACTCTATTTCATAACTTAGCTGCTCCATGGCTACATCATCCCATTAATTTTGACACTAATCTGTGAGGCAAGATTGTTGAAATGTTGTAGGACCTAACAGTAACAGTCTTGACTTGATTACTTCGGAAAAAGTCAAGCTCATCCAACGAGTGTCTTTCCAAACAGTGCTGATAGTTCCAACAATTTTTAAAATATGGAATTTTACATGCTTGAAAGATGCATTCTGTACTTTTAAAATTCTTTTCACTGTGTTTTTATTGTGTTAGATTCAGGGTTTAGACCTGTTTGTAAAATTTTTTTTAACAAGGAGCATTTCCTCTTTGTTTTGTTTGTCATTTTGTCTTAAATTTCATTTATGTATTTGAACTTAGCACAGATATCATTTTTTTTTATTAGCTGGAGTTAAACCTGAAGAAGGAGGTACATCAGTTGTATTAATCATAGGATTATTATTGATGTTATTTTTGGTGGTAGCAGTCATTGCTATGACTGTAATGATTAAAAGAAGGTAAATCAAATAGAATTGTGTATGACAAAAAGCCCACATGACAAGCCCAAGATGTGTAATACAACAAGAACAGCACTAAAACTAACAACATTCATTATCTGTACCACATTTGACCACTATCGTGGCTTCTATGGGTAGTTAAAACTTTGCAAGGACATCCTGGCAACCTTTTAAATATTTTTGGATGCATTTATTCCCTATGCTTTCTGTAGGATGACACTGAAAAACTATTGCATGCCAATGTAAGACTCTTAAAACTGAGTGACTAGATCACAGGTGGGTAAAGTGCAGGCAGGGGGGCCACATGCGACAGTGATTTTGTTGCGGCCTGTGAAAATAAATTTGCCTACCAACCATCTTTGGCAAGAAAACCAACCCCTTGTTTTGTATAGACCAACACTGATCACTTGTAAAAAGTAATATTAAACCTTAGCATCAAGCGGTATGAAAGCAGTGCATGAACTGGAACATTAAAGTTTGTCTGCGGCCCTTAGTATTGAATAAAAAATTCACTTTGGTCCTCTGACCCATTTTCATGCCCACTCCTGAACTGGATGAAGCAGATAGATTAACCACATTGTAGTAAATGCTGGATTTTTCCTTCTGTTTTGTTTTCTAGAAGAGGCGGTATTCGAGCGAAACCTATGTTTCCGATGTCACACATTACCAGCGGTGAGTTTGTCACTATATTCAAAAAGTCACTCATTCAACACTGTATTCATATTTATTCTGTTTATATTTATTTATATTTTAATGTAATTTTATATGTTTATTGTTTAAACGTTTCTGTTTTATTTAATGTTATTTGTTAGCCAACATCTGTATATGTTGAACTATATAAAATAGGCTAGTTTTTTGTCTCTGTCAGTGTGTGCGCACTTTAGGATTGATAATGTACCATCATGCTAGGTAAAAAAAGAAACCAACAGGATACTATTTTATAGTCCAGTGAACTGGATTTAGTTCATGGTGAACCATCCAGTTACATTCGGATATAGGTGTAAAACCAGCTGATGTCTAGTCCAGTGAATGTATGAGGATTAACTGTGTAGTTGATAGGAATCCAAATTAGCAACTTTCAGTTTATATTCTTATTCATATAAAGCCTTCACTGCGCGTGAGGTTGTCAGCCGATGCAGTTCTTTGTAGAATGCAATGACACAACGCATATAGCCAGAGTTAATATCCACCTATTTAAACCTTTGCTAAAAATGTACACTTTCTCCATCAAAAGGCTTCTTCTATGAATGGAATGACCTGTTTGAAGCACGAACTCCTGTAGACCAAACCCAGTACCGTTACGATTTTTAATCGTACGGGAAGTCCACTCACGATTTTTTTAATGATGATCAGCTCAGACTGCCACTGACAATCAACAAATGGCATTGTGCCATCTAACGAAGCGGAGATAGATTCATCGTACGATGGTCGTACCACGCAGTGGGTGCCCGGCGAACTTCCACCATTCTTAATAATTCTAGATAACAAGGAGTGGAATAAATTAGTGGTTAAGATGCTTGCTTTCCAATTCCAGGGTCCTGGATTAATATTTTTTTTCCCCACAACCAAAACAACTCCACTCCCCAAGCCACACGATGAGACTTAGTGAATGTAAGCATCTTGCGTGTATTTTTGTTTAACATGTTATTGTTATGTTGTTTATCTGTTTTTTTAACAAATATTTTATACATTTCTCTGCCATGATTAGTAATTTTTTTTAATGCCCTTTTTTAATGTTCAACAATAAATAATTGTCATTTTTACTATATTTTATGTATTGTACATTTTTATAATATACTGTGTCTTAATGTACGAATGTACTGTGTTCTTTTATTGTTTTATTGTGAACACACCACTTGATAGTGTGTGCCACTGTTATAAAAGTGTACGGTTCAGTAAAGTTATTATTATTATTTGTCCTGTGACGGGATTGCCACTTTGAAGAGTGATTCAGTTCACTGTTTGGCTTATCCTTGGGCCTACTGCCTAAAGCTGAATAATTTACGAGCTTACATTATGTTCCAACATCGTAGTCAAATTAGGCTATTTGTTCCCAATACTGGTGCCCCTCAGGTATTTAAATTGTGTATTAGTTTGCTGATGTATCTTGACCTAATTTTATACTGTATATTTAAAAGTAATTCCGAAGTTTATAATTTTATTTATAATCGGTATTTAAATTGTGTATTAGTTTGCTGATGTATCTTGACCTAATTTTATACTGTATATTTAAAAGTAATTCCGAAGTTTATAATTTTACTTATAATCCTATCATTTTATTTTTCATCCAATAGAAACAAGATTATCAAATGCTCCTTCTGAGGACACATTGGCTGACACTGTGAATGGGAAACAACCACCCATATCTCAAAAACCAGCAAATTTGAAAGCAGCTAGAATACATCGACCTGTGAAAGTCGAACACCTTGCTGCGTATGTTAAGAAGAAGAGGATGAATCAAAATGAAGGATTCCTAAGTGATTTTGAGGTAAATATTCTATTGACCCATAAATGTACTCACTGCTATTTCCATATTGGAAAAATAATGTGAATCTGAAACTAGAATAATTAGTTTGTACTGTATTATTTTTCATCAAGATGGTGTTAGCTTAGACTATTTTTATTTATCTATACCTTATCACCCTTTATCAATTATGTTATCTATTAATGATATATTTTGTTGACAATAAAATTTGAAAAGTTTTTCAAAATCTGAAACATAAAATTCACCATTTTTAGAGAAATTATACCACATGTTTTCAGCTGTTTTGTGCCTTCCAGTCCCAGGCTTTAGGGTTCAATTTATGTTATGGTAATCGGATTAAAAATTTCAACCCACAAAGTTCATGTGGACAGATTGATTCAGTAATTATAAAACATCAGTATTTCTTTTTTATTTTATACAATAAATCACATTATTCTTCTGAAATTATATTTGCCCAACAACTCAAAATGTAAGAACATCAGGATTTTAATCTGTCACTGCTGCATTTTTGTAAACCGCATTTTATTTCCCAAAAGTCTCTACCTGATCAACAAATGTATTCCTGGGATGTTGCCAAGAAGTCAGAAAACAAAACAAAGAATCGCTATGGAAACATAATCGCATGTAAGTTATTATATTAGAATTTGTTCTTTTGTTAATTTTATAGGTATCCTGCAGTTGACATTTGATGTTAATGCAATAACTAAAAATGAAGTGTAAAACATAAATTGCCAGAGAAATTACCTATATGCCTATGTGTAGGTCTCCTGTTTCAAAACATTTAATACAAATAATAATAAATAACTTATATTACCAGAAAAATTACCATTATGTACATATGAATATTATTACCATTAAAAATTACCATTATGTACATATGAATATTATTACTAAATTTAGTTTCAAATATAACTAATAGTGCATGTTCACATTGGATAAATTTTGATGAAGACAATTAAAGCTCTGTCCACACTATAAAATTTTATGTCAAAAATAAATTTGATATGACCATATTTGGGTGTAATATTATGACATCATCATGCCTATATATGGGCACATCACATACATTTGTCACATAAAGTGTGATAGTGTGGTTCCTCTAATCATGAATACATTTTGTAAAAATTCCAGCAATGAATTCAGTATTAGCAGGGAACAGTGTAATTACATGGAATGATCTCAAAATACTAATTAATTTCACCGTTCCTTGGACTCGGAAACAATTTCTGTAAAGCCCTTCATTTTCGCAATAAAACAACGATAGCGAAAATAGGGGGCGCGCAGAAAACGTGAAATTCTGAATAATAGTTTTGCCTTCAAAAGCAAAGAAGAATCTGAAGAAACTCACAAATTCGGGAGCTCTAGCTATAATAAGGACTAAAATCATAGTAGAGGTTTCTGCCTACTGGAAGTTGTAAAATCACAAAATTAACGGTTGCGAGATATTTTTAATTGTAAAGTGCGGCGAAAATAAAGGCCTTCACGTTAACCATGTTGTGCTGTTCGCATTGAACTTTTCTGCTGGAAAAAAAACATCCAGGTTGTCTTCCAGAGCAGCGTTCACTCATTTAAACTTGGCGTCCATCTTGAGTGATTTGACCAGAGGCTGTACAGAATTTTTTTGGGTCAAAGTGACCAGGTACATTGACCAAAATTAATACAATGCGAACACTGCTTTAGTAGTCTTATACATTTCTGGATTTTTTTTATGCATTAATATATTAATATGGTGATGGTTTGTGGCATTTGTAGTGTGGTACAAATTAGGGGTGCTTCATTTCTCCTTCCACTTGGTTCTTACCTGTATCTTTGCTATGTACTAATTATCTTATAGATGACCATTGTCGTGTTGTTCTTGATCCTGTGCCTGGTGATCCTCACTCTGACTATATCAATGCATGTTACATTGATGTAAGTCCAGCTCTTTTTCCACTTATTTCTCTTTTCGCATGTTTCAACTCTGTATCTAACACCTTAGTAACTAGCAATTCTGATAGTCAGAGATATAAAAGTGATATAAGAATATGTAGACTGTCTCTCTTTGATTAACATTTAGGTAACAATTACAGTAACTTTTGCCACCTTTCACCTTTATTTTATGCACTTTTGATTCACTGTTTTTGGTGGTGGTTGGAGAATTTGTGGTTGTGGTGATGATCGTAATGGTAGGAGGATGTTGATAATGATGATGGTGGCAGGCTTATTGATAGTTATGATGAAGTTGGTGGTGGTTGTGATGGCGGCTGTGGCAGTAATGATGATAGGGTTGCATGTGCTGGCAGTTGTAATCAAATGCTGGTGGTTATTATGTTGTGTGGTGTGGATAGTGGAGTTATCCTGATGCCATATTTTTTCCTATCATTTTGTTTGGAAAGTGCTAAGATGTGGAATTAGTAGAGACTAATTAAGAAATACATTTTTTCTACTAGGGTTACAAACAAAAAAATGCTTATATTGCAACACAAGGTATGTTCACATCTTTTTATATTTATTATATGATTATTTATAATAATAAAGACTGTATAAGTTAGATTAATCTGTATTGATGCAAGCTAGTACACGCTTCAAATTTATTAGTCAAATTTTTGTAAATAAAGAAAAATAATCCTCAGAAAGCTGGATAAATAGATTAATGCAATCACACCGGTATATCTGTATCTAATTAACCATTACATGAAGAAACGTCTTCGTTATTTTTTTCCGCTTTAAAGTGGCTTTACAATGATTTGCTTGCTTGCTACTGTAAGTTTGATCATATTAAATTATATTCAACTTCAGGCCCAAACACTGCATCTGTACAAGATATATGGAGAATGGTTTGGCAAGAAGGTTGCTCTGTCATCGTCATGGTGACTAATTTATCTGAGGGAGGAAAGGTAATAAAGTTGATCATAATGTTCTTATCTAAAATGAAATTGAACTTTGTGACTTGATCTAACTGAATCTGATAGTGGTAAATTTCAGTCTATTATTTCGCTTGTGTCCTTGAGCGAGGCACTATATCTGCATCTTTCTCTTCACCCAGGAGTAAGTGACTACCTTGTAGGGTTAAAATGCCAAATGTGCTGATTAGCTGCTGTAAGGTTATGGGATAATTGGCACGGAAGCTGAGTTCCATAGTGGTTTAATCCAATGGATGTATGTGTGTTATATAAGTCTACCATTACTCTATTATATTTATAAGTCAATCATGACATCATCAGTGCAACTCCTAATGTTGTTTTAAAGGAAGAAAAAGCTTATTTTTTACATTTTTCCCTTTATATGTAGTTACTATACTTTTATACATGCAGAAAAAAAGGAAAAATGTTTATGTACCATATACCTGAAGCAGAGATTGTTTATATTTGCATTTGAAACTAGCAATAGATTTTTTTTGTTTCAAGTTTTTTTATAACTTGTGTCCACGATATAGAATAAAACGTGATATGAATTTAGACGAGCGCATTTTCATTTGGAAGTTAGTGGCAGAAAAGCTATGAAAGTAGGAATGAATATCGGAAGGTTTAGTAAATAATAATGTAATATTACTGGGAAGGGTATTATGAGATAAACGATACATAAATTATGCAATTTGCAGCTTGTTTATGTCGAATATATTTAAAACCTTTAAGTTAAAAAATAAATGTTTAGTGTGTGATTTGTAAGATGCCCCCTGAACAAATCCGAATAGCTGGTTTTTGTAATTTAAAGAGAATATCAACATGGGTAGATTCAAGATTCAATCACTTGTTGGTGGTGCTCTCAAGAAGGGAAAAAAGTACTAATAAATAAATAAATACATAAAAATAAGAAACATTGGGCAAGGTTAAAGTCAAGGGTAATGAGGGTAGTGAACACAACCATTTGAAGTATGATTTTGTGGTTGGATTTTTTCAGAAAAAATGTGAAAAGTACTGGCCAGACGACACTCAGACATATGCTGGCATCGATGTGAAGACAATCATGGAAGAGGATTATCCACAGTACACAGTTAGGACATTTAAAATTACCAAGGTAGGATATGTTAACATCTGATAATGATTAAGATAATGATGAGGCAAAAGCATATGTTTTTAATCATGCCTTCAACATTTTTTCCACCCCTCAATTGGTTCATCTAAAAAGTTTGCCAGAACAAAGACCATATAACGAAGATGTGTTATGTAAAATATGATATATTCTACATATTTTTTATTTGATTTTTATGTTAATGCAATTTGCATTTTGTAAAGCATCTCAAACTAGTTACAGCTAGGTTCAACGTTAAATGACCTTGAAATGCATAAACAATCTTTGCCCTCAACTATAAATTCATACAAGGTAGATAAACTTAAAATCCAATGGGACAAAGTCAATTATTACTGAAATAGTATTACTCATTATATAGTATTATGTACTGATGGAGATTGACTATTCGCCTTGTGATCATGTTATACCTTTTACAAAAATACTGTAAGGGAGTAGCTATAACAACTCAAGAATAATAAATATTTTTAATAGAATGATGAGGTTTCCCGTGAAGTAAAACAGTTTCACTTCACTGTTTGGCCGGATATGGGAGTGCCAGAGTTTGCCAACGATATCCTCAGCTTCATTAATGTTGTTAAAGAAAATCGCCGTGAAAATACGGGACCTACAGTTGTTCATTGCAGGTTGGTTTTTAGTATAGTTTAGCTGTTACATGTTACTATACATAATAAAATTTTATTGGTCAATTCCACTTTTTTTTATGTGGTACTGTATTTTTTACTACTTCCCTGCACATGCTCATTTACAATGCTTGAAAAAAATCTACTATGACTGTGTGAAACGTCAGTATGCAAACTGTGTAATTTTACCTTCACACCTCAAAATGGCTGATGTAGATTGTTTTTTTTTTTGCTGTTAAATATTTATGAGGTATTTATATTAAAACTTTATTTCAAAAATCGCATTATATTTTTTTAAGGTTTGCATGGCGAGTATCAAAAAACGGTCATAAACTTTTCGGTGCACCATGTGTAAAAATATAGTTTTGAGGTAAAAACCACTGATTAGTTGGTTGACAGCCAACCAGTGGTTTTACCTCAAAAACTATATTATTTTTACACATTGTGTACCAAAAGTTTTATAAAAAATAGCATTATTCAGGATCCTGCAGTTTCTGCTACAGTTTAGTAAAACAAATACAGTATTATTTTGGTAAGGCAGTGAATTGTACTTGCATCGGTGTTGCATGAATCAGACTACCTTTCAATTATCTCTGCCTCGGGTAGCAGTATTCACTACTTCAATTCAACCGTTGAATTTATTTACCAAATCAAGTTTCTTTTTTTAAGCCCTGTCCAGACTATCAAATTTTATTTGACAAAAACATGTGACATGCCTAAATATGGTCATGATGACATCACATCATCACCATATATAGGCAGTTCATGACTATTATATAGGCCATCTTCAGTTTCAATGAAAATGTGATAATCTGAACCAAGCTTTAATTTAGGTTTATATTCTATTCTAAATTCCATTTTGTAACTCGTCCTTTAAGTGTATTTCTAATTAACCATGTAGTTCTTACCCTTTTCTGACCAGATTATGTGACGCACTTAAGTTAATCACTGTGGTTTCTTGTTTTTTCCATTTTAATACAGTGCTGGTGTTGGAAGAACTGGAACTTTGATAGCCATTAGTGAGATGCTTGATATGGCACGAGATGAAGAAAAGATAAATGTCTTTAACTTTGTTCACCAGATGAGGACTCATAGGGTGAAGATGGTTCAAACAGCTGTAAGAATTTAACATCATATTTATCTATTTTTAATGTATTATGTTTTAAACTCTTCCATAAGGCAGTGAGTGAGCTTATGTTAAAAGGCCTTCTTGAAGAAATGTAACACATTCAACAAGATTAACCATTGCATATACAGTTCACCCTCTAATTCTAGACCACATTTGGGACAGTCTCCACTTAGAGGGTCAGATTTTTGTTAAAAGGTCATGAAGATTATTATTTGGTTCTTTGAAATTGAAGTGTTCTTGAATTAGAGTGGTTTTGGAATTAGATTGGTCTCGAATTGGAGTGTGCACTGTATAAAATTAGCATTAAGGTAACTTTCATCAAGCACAATGATGGTGCAAGCTACCATCAATATTCAAAACATTTTATAGACTGTAATTCTGTAGTACTTTTTAATTCTTATTTACTGATGTTGAATATTTTGCTCTCATAGGATCAGTATTTCTTCATCTTTGATGCTTTACTTGAAGCAGTGGTCTGTGGTCCAACGTCAGCCAAAGCTGCAGACATGGAATCATTCTACAATAGTCTGTTGACAATCAATCCATTGACAAAGAGATCGTACATTCTAGAACAATACAATGTAAGGACTATTATTTTGTTGTTGTTATTTCAATGGAGTGAAGCCCCAGGGAGGATATTACATTTGCACTGATTCTTCTTTATGTTGTTATTGATTGTGGTGATGGTAGTAAGTTCATAGTTCAGGGGTCCCAAGTTGCATGAAGCCACTTTTGAGGGATCTGTTTACTTGAGCTGTCACATCTACTTGTTTTTGGCCGTGCATGGTGATGTCCATCATCGCTGACTTCCGGTTCCGGGAGACAATTCATAGTTTTGTTAAAATATATCATGAATTTGCGGAAGATGGGTTATTTTCTGAGAGATTCTTCTTGCTTACGGGCATGCAGTAGGCCTTTCTGATTTCCGGGAGACTCCCACAACTTGAGGGCGACATGATACCTCTGCTTGTTACCATAATAAAGTTTTTTAGGACAGAGCTTATTAATGTTGGTACCTACAGTATATGATTATGTTAAATACTCATTTACATACTTAATACTCAATTAATCCATGATATTATGCTTTTTTTTACACTATGAATATTTCATAGAAAAACAATGATAAGAGTCTGCACTTTTACTGCAATGAGTAAAAGTAGAAATTACATTTGATTGTTGATATTTATTTTTTATGATTATTTTAATTATTATAATTATTGTTTGTTGTTTAGTACACTTTTTTCCCAGTTTACTTTTGCATAAATTGTTATTTTTATGAATTAATTTTCAGGCTCTTGAAGCAATGAGCGTTGTTGCAACTGAGGAAAATACTAAAGGCGGGAAAATGCCAGAAAATATCAGTAAAAACAGGTTTCCAGAACAAGTTCCAAGTAAGACAAATTAGTACATAGAATTGAGAATGTTCTGGAGATATGAACATAAACGTATATTATATGATTTCCATAAAAATATGTGAAATCATTTCTGGTAGTGTTAATTTTTGTGGCTGTTTATGTTTGCTTAGAAATATTTAAATATCGGTAACACATATCTTGGTACTCTATAAAAAATAAAGGGCCTTTCTGTACATTAGCAAGTGATTTAAGTTCATTACAATTCTTCTGTGTAAATTTTTTGAGTGCATACTCCTTTTATAACTAATATATTATCTAAATAATTGATGAATTAATTTTTTTTAATCCTTCAGTTGATGGTTCAAGACCGTATCTAATGACTCTTTCATCAGAGACTGGTAACAACTACATCAATGCTTCATTCCTGCATGTATGTGGTATATTTAATTATTATGACTATTATTAGTAATGCGTTGTGGGTGACTCAGAAATGTAAATATGATTTAGCTTTAGATAGATTTGAAGAATATAAAGAATTTGCTAAAGGTAGACCAGGCCAATTAGGCTAGGCCGAGCTGATTACGGTAAAACTAGCCATCCTAAATAATTGTTGGCTGTCCAAAAGATGGCTGGACGGTTGCTGGCTAAGCCGAAGTGTGGATTGATTTAAAATGAATATTCCATGGTTATTTGAGTACCAGTCAACGATCCTTGAATAGTAATTTGTCATCTCCAAGACTACAAAAATCACAAGTGCAGTGCAAGCGAGAAAAATTAGCCTAGCCTAGGCACCCTGTGCGTCAACAGAGAGTTGGTAATTTCAGAGTAGCCTTAATTCCGCCGATAAAATGGCAGATACATTTGGTACTGGGCCGTTTGTACTTTTGAGCGAAAAAGATTTATATGAATTACTGAATGAAAGTTATACCAAATCAACAAAAAAGGCAATAAAGTATGCAGTTAACAATATTTCACCAGCTTCAGTGTTGAGAATTTGAGACTGTTATTAGCCGAACCTGAACCATTCCTATGGCTATGCCTAGGGCTAGGCCCTGAGGCCGGTTTTATGCTGGCCTTTAAAAGGAAGATGAGTCCTTGTATTCAAAGAAGAGCATGCAAGCAAGCGATCCGGAGAGATACAGCTAGGTTTTGTATAAATAAACATTCATTTGTATACTGGTTTACCGGGTAGCTCAGACACAAAAGAGACCCTTAGGGGAGAAGTAAGTTATTGTAAGAGATAATTCACACTTCGACCACTTTGATACTGTTTTAGAAAAAAAAATGCTATAGAAATCTAAGTACATTACAAAGTTAAATCTTCTCTGTTTTAAAGTACTGAATACGATACTGGCACATTCTAATTCAAATTAATCAGTTTAGCATTTAGCAACAGTATGTTTGTTTTGAAATGTCAAAGCCTCATTTTGTTTACATGCTTTTTTTTCTTCTTTTTTTTCAGGGTTATCGTGGAAAGGATATGTACATAGCAACACAGATGCCTATGCCAAGTACAATTGCTGATTTTTGGTGTATGGTTTATGATTACAAATCTAAACTGATTTTAATGTTGAATGAAGTAGCAAGCCTGGACAAGGTAGAGAGTTTGTTTTCAACTATTCAAAGGTTATTAGTAAAAAATATTAGAAATTGGACACAAAAAAATATGAAATTTTTTTTTTTTAAACTAGTCAAGAAAATAGCATGCGCTAAGATTCCAACACCAAAGTAGTCATGTCTCATAACTTGAAAAAAATCATCTGCATCTGCAAAGGAAGCGTGTATGTCTTCTCTCTAAGCCCTTCATTTCTTAGGTCATATAAAGAAATTTATTTTAAGGTGTGATTAGTAGAAAAAAGTCTGGTTCTGGGTGCTTCGTGCACTTTGGATGGTGTGCACTTAAAAAAACCATTGTATCTTTTGGAAGAGTACACTGCTGCTGATTTGTTTGCTGTACAGTGTTGCTGTGGTACAATTCAGCCCCTGCGCTACAACTACTACATAGATTGTAACCGCACAAATTCAACACAGTGATGCTGCCAATTTTGGATACCTCTACCTCTATTCCATCCCCTAAGTGATGAGAATAAATTTTAGTGAATTCTAAAAAAATTGATTTTTAAATTTATTTTGTTAATAAATTAGACATATGGAAAATATTGGCCAGATTCGGGATGTGTGCAGCATGGACCAATGTCAATAGAACATGTGTCCACTGAGAAGTTTAAGACAGCTGTCTGCCGCACGTTCACATTAAAAAACACCCTACGAATGGTATGATCTCTTTCTTTTTTATTGGTTTATTTTCATCACCAGAAGAAAGCATAGCTTATTCATTTAATATTAAGTTAAATATGGTTAATATATATATTTCAGTATCTTTTATTTAACAAATAAAGATATGTACATAAAACTGTTTATAACAGTAAAATCTGAATCTAGGTAAAATATATATGAATGTGGTAAATATATAAATAAATAAATTTAAAATATCACAAATATTGTAAGTATAGTTTACAGTATTTGTCATCGTCGTCGTTGTTATTATTATTGCAGTGTGTATAATAAATTATTGTTATTATTGTTATTATTTTATTTTCTAATAGAAAGAGGAACCACGTCAAATCAAACAGTATCAATATCTCGGCTGGCTAAGCAGTAAGACTCCTGCTTCAGTAGAATCAGTTCTTGAGTTTCTGAAATTATTGGACGGAGAAGGAAGTGAGAGCACCAATGCACCAATCACAGTCCATTGCATGTAAGGATCAAGGAAGTGGCTTACAAAATATTAGATTGCCTTATTTCCTATACCCCTATTGTGTATATTACTTTTATTATTTATATGATGCCTCCTTATTCTGTACATATCAAGGTATCTTTATTCGTAAAAACAAAACATTGAAAAGTCACAATATACTGTAATTTACTAGCAGTTTAAGAAACTAAATTGTGAAAAATGTTTATAGTATGAAAGGCATAAAAAATATATAAAAAACACAATAGCAGAAAAATAATATACTCATTTATTTTATTTTCATTATTATTATTATTATTATTATTATTATTTTTATTATTATTATTATTATTATTATTATTTCATTCTCATTGTTATTATTATTATTATATAATTATCATTATTATAATTATTATCATTCTCATTGTTATTATTATTATCATCATCATCATCATCATCATTATTTTCATCATCATCATCATCATCATCATCATCATCATCATCATCATCATCATCATTATTATAATTATTATCTGAAAGGCCATCCATGTGGTGATTAGAGTGAAGCTGGTCCTCCTTGTTTTTTATTAGGTGCATGGGCTAACGATTGTAAAGAGCAAACTTAAATCAGCATCTAAGTAGCAATTTCTTTCAAGTATTATTTTAACTCATCTCAGGCAGTATATAATTGCTGACTCTAAAACTGTTTTCCTTTAATGATATAGCTGCCCAAAAAAATGTAAAGACACTCTAAAAAATAAAAATTCTTTAATGATTTACAGATGTTTTATAACAAAAATTTGATGCCAGAATTTCTAACAATTAATTTGTATTATTTGAGCTCAATTTTTAGTTGAAAGCTCGTTTAAATAAATATGATTTTATAATTTTTAACTTCATTTGATTTACTTTTAATATTAATATTTGATGAAGTATACAATTTATATACAGTATATATATATGTATAAAGCAGATTGTTATATTTTCTTGTTTATTGTAAGGAATGGAATCGAGAGATGTGGTTTGTTCTGCACCATCCATAGCGTATTTCAACGATTACAACAGGAACATATTGTAGATGTTTTTCACACTATTAGGAAGCTGAGGCGAAGTAGAGCAAGTATGGTAGTCCCAGTGGTAAGAGACATGACTTAATTTATATGACTGAATGTTGCAATCATCTGTCTTTTAAATTCAAATGGTGTATCAGTCAACGTGATATAACACCACATCATCAGTTGTATCTAGTTGTGTTAAAAAAACTCCTTTCATCACGTGATAATAGCCAACATGAATGGGGCGGATCCAGAATTTTTCCAATAAGGTGGGGGGGGGGCACAACAGTTTCAGAATAGATAGTGAGTAGCACATAACATTGATATGCAATGAAATTTAACAATTTAGTGGCAAAACAGTTTGCCTCCTACTGGATCTGCGTCTGCTGAAGAGTCAGTTAAGCCGGGCACTGACGGCTCACAAATCCGACCTTGCTCACTGATTTTGTCAGTGGCAGTCTAAACGGATCGCCATTTAATACGATTCTTTGCATTGATGTTGTAGCATTGCATTCTCCATGGAGCACAATTGCCCGGCTTTAGAGTAAAAGAAAACCACAACCAGCGTTCAAAGTCTTGGCTTCTGCTAAAAATGGGGATGCCTTAATGATTACAGTGACAACCAGTGGCGGCGCCAGCGGGGTGGCAAGTCAAGCCCCCGCCGGACAGAGCTCGTCGGGCAGTCAGACCATAGAACATATAAAAATAGGCCCACACCAAGCCAACACATGTCTGTCACAGTCTGAGAGTGCCATTTTCGTCCGTCCAGAGGTTGATATTCTTTAAAAAAAAATCTCATTTGGGAAGGGTACCCCCTCTCAACCCCTTCCTCCAGCTCGAGCCTACGAGCTCAAGCCCCCCCTGTCGGACAACTTCGTCCCCCAGAAAATATATCCTAGAGGACAACTTAGCCCCCCCAGAAAATATATCCTAGAGCCGCCACTGGTGACAACACTCTAGAAACAGTCCTTGTATTGTATTTGAATCCAAGTATTTATAATTGTTACAAATATTTGTAAATTTTCTTTTCTTCTTTATTCACAGGCCCAATTTGAATTCTGCTTCACAACAGTTCGTTGTTACTTGGATGCCTTTGAAATATATTCAAATTACAAATAATAATTTCCATAAAATATTTCAGTGTTTAGAATGATAGATGGAGAGAAATATGAATGTAGTAATGTGTTGTGGTTTCTGCAGATTGTGTGTATAGACCAATGCTTGCAATGTGCATACCTGCATTTCTGCCGTACCATTTTGTTACTCCTTAAAGATGTATTGTCTCCTGAAAACGACAACAAATCATAAAAAATAATTTTGAAATTAACTTGCTTATTTTGCAGTAACATACAAATTACTTACTTGAACATAGAAATTATTAAATTTTAAAAATGTGTATTCTGATTTTTTTTTTTTGCTGGATAATTAAATAAAATTAATAATTTACTTCCAGTTACTGGAAGAGTTTCTAGCATTTCTCGCTATAAAATTATAGGTAATGGGACACTTTTTTTTATTAGTTGATTCGCATACTTTTTTTTTTAAAGATCATCGAAAGAGGGTGGAATAAAAATAAGAATTAAATTTTTGTTTTCTTATTTAGCAAAATAGTTTTGCCAAAATCATCCAGACGGAGTAGAAAATAAAAATAAAATTTTATTGGTGAATGTAAAATAGGATGGTTAAATGCTTCAAATTTATATAATTAGGAAGAAATATACATATCTTATCTTTGGAGATTTCAAAGCAGTGGAGGGTGTAATAAAAATAAAGAAAAACTTTTATCTTTTTCTGAAATTTCCACTTTTTCGTGGCAGTGGGTGCGCTAATTGTCAAAAATAAAATGTTATTTTTATTCGAAATCATTAATATTTGCAGTCGGCGGGTTCACTAAACAAGGTATTAAAAAGGTCTCGCCTAAACATGTTTTAATTGCACTAATTTCTATGTTCAAGTTGAACATTTTTGTGTAATACTTTAAGGTTTTCTACTTTTTCTATACTGTACTTCTAAGTGGTTTGTGTTACTTCATAATGAGCAAGTAGTTAATTTTTAAAATGATTTTTATGACTTTTCTTTGGTATTTTGAATGGGACAATACAACTAAACATATAAACCTTTCTGTTTTAATTTTTATTATCTAAAATATTGTATCTTAATTCTTAATTAATTGCTTAGTTGTATAAATACACAGATTTTTATATCAATGTCATTGTATCTTTATACACAGTTATATTATAGCGTTTGAATGAGCGACACGAGTACATGAGCTTTGAACTGATATCTGTATTCACAGCAAAAAGTAGATTTGACCCAAAAAAATATCCTAGAATTCAGACGAAAACTCGACCTTTTCGTACGTGTAGACTACTCTGTGTGACGTCACTGTATATGTGATCTTACGAAAGCACAAGAGTGATTGATGCTTTTGTTAATACTTCTGGCTTGTTGATGCAATTTGGTGCTTATTTTCATTTGGTTATTTATTTAAATTTGGTCTTTCTCAGGTTTAATTTTTGTAGTATCTTTACTTGTATAGCAGATTAACTAATTCTGATAGTTTTTAATTGATTCCAAAATTAATAAAGTATATTAACATTTTACACTACATTTTCACAATTTTGATGAGAGAGACCTTAGTTGACTGTTCTTAATTTTGAATTTTATGAACTTCATTTAAATTTTAAATCATACAATTTGATAAATTATATATTTTTTAATGACACGTGATGTTTGAGCATAGCTAAAAATCTGATAGACAAAATATTTATAATGAGAGCAATGTGTACGTAAATGCATTTATTAGAAGTATGCATTAAGTATTAGGTAAATTATATTTAAACAGACATATTATTACTGTACAACAAATATTTTATATAATAAATATGAGAAAAGTTAATACACCAATATACTTAATTATTATCGAATTCTAGTCTTTTAATGTAAATTTAGATGTGGAAGTCTATTTTTTGTTTTTATATAAAAAGGATTTGTTGTGAGAAAAAAAAAGAGGAATCTATGAGAGTGAAAACAAAGTCAACCCAATCAGTACTCAAACTCTGGTCTTCTGTTGTATATGTAGACCCCTTAACGAAATCGCCAGTGGTGTATCGTGATGAATTTAAATGTAATAAGACAAGTGAATGTAAGCCATGCTTCCTAAGAATGAAATGCATAAGAATGCAATATTCGTTATTAAATTTTAATTTTAGTTTTTCGTAATATGTCAATGCTGATGTTGGTCTCCAACACAACCTATTTCTTTTGATATACTGAATAATAAAATAATTTATTGTCCAAACACACGTGAAACACACCTCTACCAATGACATATATTTTCATAGAACTTTTTTGAATTATTCTTGATACAATTGTAACATCTTATGTTCCTGTTTGAGCACTGTTATTATTATTATTATTTATCTATTTGTTTACACATATTTTTAATAATTACTATGATTTACTACCTGCAACCTACAAACTATGTGGGAGTGTATGTATATATATATATAAATATATATATATATTTAAAAATATAAAGTAGTATGTAAATATATATATATATATATTTACGTACTACTTTAAATTTTTATATATATATATATTTTTATATATATATATATATATATATATATATATATATATGAAGAGAGATATATGAAAAGAGAAGATTCTTGTTATGAGTTTTTCTTATCTAAGCAGTTGCACGTTATAAATCATCATATATTCTCATTGGTAATTTCACAAATGTGGTATTATTAGAGGAGTTGCTTTAGGCTGGTTCATGAGCTATCTAAATATATAAAGTAGTATGTACTATCATCAGATGATCGTGTGGTGCCACATGGCTCTGTCCTTGGCCCACCTTTTTGTAAATGACAATTGTTAGAGGACAGTGACAACCTTCGGGTTGTGTGTCTACTAATGCAGACACTTGTTTTATTCTACTCTCTTTAGTATTGAAATATATGACAGTTTTACCTCAAATATACACCAAAAAACATCGTTTTTATAGATACATATTTTATCCAACAGATAGATTTATTTTTTCAACGTTAACGTTATTGAAAGTTTTTCCTTGGTATTTATATTCAAGCATATTTAAGGTGGCCCAATCAGCAAAATCATTTAGCATTAAAGTATAGTTATTTTATTTATTTATTTATTAATAAATAAAATAAACATACTAAATCGCTAGTCTATAATGCATATATAGATTTATAGAGCTATTATATATTATATATATACAATCACTATACTATAATACAGTGTAGGCCTACCATGAAAATTGTATTTTTTTAAATAATGCTTTATTTTATATTTCCATCGATGACTTTTAGCATACTTTGGAACAGGTTTCATCTGATTAATGTAAGGTGGTATAAATTACAAAAGCCTTAATATTATACACATCAACGATTATATCCAAACGCATTAAATTTCCGAATCGTATTTTTGAGGGGAAAAAAAGTGTTTATAAGTGCATTGCTGTTTTCGTCTAAATGAACTAGACAGGTATTTTATTTTTTATATCAAAACATTTTTTTAATAGAAATGGTTTAATACATGATTTTTCATAAATTCCAACTATATTTTGTATGGTTTAGTAAGTTTGATAATATACGCATGTGCGGGCGGTAGAACTCGTCTAGAAGTTCGCGAGACTCGTCCAGCATTGGTGGCTTCTTTTTGCCGGTATTCGCATGTTCATTTTGACAAACCTTTCGACGATCATCATCTGATTGTATATCTATAAAATATAAAATAAATATAATAGCTTGCAAACGTGTTTATCTTCTATTATTATTATTATTATTGTTATTATTATTATTAATATTATGTTACTAAAATATACCTTAAGGGGAACTTAGACAATGGAGAGAGTACAGAACAATTAAGAAAACGACGTTAAGGGGAATGTAACACAAATGATATTCCCCCTAAGTCCGAGTTAGTGCTAGGTGGTTATTATTATTATTATTATTATTATTTTTATTATTATTATTATTATTATTATTATTATTATTATTATTATTATTATTATTATTATTATACTGCGTCTGATGTGCGCTCGTGTGAACCAAGCCTAATTCTCTTCTATGCTCCTATGTATTTCTGTATGAAATACGCAATCATGCTTCCATACTTTTGCGTATGAAGCGATCTTATCTTTATGCACGCCAACCTGATATCATTTGTATACTCAATTTTAGTAGTTTCTGTTGATGTTAAATGTAAATACTTACCTAATCCTAAAAACATATAGATTCTTTTAAGATATTCGACACAGTTTGAGTTCCAATCTTCTGTCGTCATAAAAAATAGTTGATCACGTGGGAATACATTTAGCCAATCTTGCGTGAAAACGTCATACAATCCTACATTAAGCCTCACCCCCAGGCCGTAAGCGCGAGCCTATGGCCTGGGTATGTACTATAGGACCTATATCTAGAAATTATTTTATATTTATTGGTATTCAATAGACTTACATTTGGACATTTACTTAACGTTTTTTCATCGTCATTTAAAGATAGGCCTACATCTTTTTCCTGTAATGAAAAATACACGATGTTAAATACAATATTTATAAATAATGATGATAGTGATAATGTTGATGATAATGGTGATTGTAATTATGGTAATGATTATTATATATTACGATGACAATAGATAATAATGGTAGTGGTAATAATGATAATGAAGATGATGATTGTGGATGCTGATGTCGGTATGGTGGTGATAATGATGATGATCATGATAATCATGATCATAATCATGGTCGTAATCACTACCTTACTAATTTAGATATAATAACTTAACAAAATAATAAATCATAAACATACTTCCTCATAGAAACGTTTTTTTTTTTTGAATAAGCACACGTTCGCAATTTATGGTTTTGCAGACAGTTGTTAAAGATTGTTATAGCTTCTATGGAACATCTGTGGAACATCATCGGTGATATGTTTTGGCCACGGTTGATGTAGTAATAGTCGGAGTACAATCTGTAATATGAAGTGATAACCCATGCAAGTATTAATATGTATGATCTATTCTATTCTAAAGATAGGCCTACATAGATACACATTTACACAGATAGCGACGAAGTGCGAGTGGACCCTAATGACGTCGAGCCTCCCAAAGAGCACAGGCTCACTGACTTAGCCCTTTATTTTGGGTGCCTCAGTGACGTCTGCTCCAGTAACGTATCTAGGGGGGGGGGGTACACACGCCCCTCCAAAAATTACTGGCCCCCCTTCCCCAAAAAAATCAGTTAAATAGTTAAAAATCTCCTAAAATCACCTTATTTTGCGAATTAGTGCCCCTCAACTGATCATCGAGGCCCCCTATTTCACCTTCGCACCCCCACCCTCACCAGTACCCCCATTTCAAGACTTCTAGATACGCCACTTGTCTGCTATTGTACAGTAATTGGTATTTCCTCTTTTAGTTCATACGGTTCGTTTACAGGTTGTCTCCAGCGGTCAGTGGTGGCGCCAGAATTTGCACGACGGAGCGGGCGATGTCCCCGACAGGGGTGACGATTTCCCTAACAAGAGCGTAAGTTGGAGTTGTCGGGCGTCTTAAATCCCTCAGAGAGTGGTGCAATGGCGAATCATCCTGGATCCTCCTTTAATGTTCCATCAAATTTTATGTGACGCTTTTTTTGATGAAATTTGATAGTGTAGACAAAGCTCAACTTTCAACGTTCAACTTTTTTTTTAATACAATTTGACGTCATCGTACCATATATGGGCACATCACATTTTTTTTGTCACATAACATTTGATAGTGTAGACAAAGCTTAATAAAATCCTTGATAAAATGTACAAAATAAATAATATTTTTCTCCCCCGAGACTAAATATATTTTTTCTCCCCCCGGGTGTCTCCCCTACAAGGCGACAACTCTCTTCAGAGGAGGTGGGGCGTAAATGAACTTAGGAATCTCATATAACAATGTTCTAATGAAAACGTTAATGTTTTATGTTTCTTGTTATCTATATTATTGATGCATATCGATAAAGCGAATATACAGTAGCATAAGTAAACGCAGGCCTACCTGTCGGTTGGGTTTCTAAAGATTACAACAATTTTTGCGTCGGGTTGGATATTGTGAATGAGGTTGGCATGTGTTTCACGCGGGACTTCCGATTCGTTTGGGAATAACTCGTTCCAGATTTTAAAATCCCAAAACGTTGATGCAGAACCATCTCCTTGACAATGAAAATGAAATTCGTTAGCATTCACCCAATCACTAAACTAACAGTGGCGTAACTAGGTTGTGAGGGGCCCTGGTTCCAGAGTACAGTCGGGTCCCCCTTGACGCATGGAAATTGATTGACCATGTCAATTAAGGTGTGTAGGCCTACCACCAATGGGTTAGTTTAGGAGCTGGGTTCCCTCCGTTTTTACATTCTATTTTGACAATAAATCTTTCGATTTTTTTAAATTTTTAATTTTAGATGTTTAGAGGGCATTTTGAAGAGCTATTGACTGGACTGACCATAATAAACATTTCTTCTTATGACCAAAATAAAAAGAACATTCGATATTTATTGAATTGTTTTTTATTTATCGGATTAACTATTGAAAAATGTCAACAATTATCTTCTTTATTATTTTTATATGCTTAAGCTAAATAAAAGAAATGGATCACAGATGACGTGATTAGACTTATGTATGACCGTGATCATGTAAAACACTTATCCGATAAACATGGTAGCCAAACACCTTTTAATAAATATCGCTCACTTAGAAACGAAATGCACGAGTAAAATTCAGAAATCCAAATCAGATTATTTTTTATCAGTTGAGAACAAATACAAACAGGATCCCAAACGTTTGTGTGATGAAATGAATAAACTTATAGAAGAAAAACAAAAACTCAATATTCATCCAAATCTTGATTGTGAAAATTTTAGCGATTATCTAGTGTTTCAAACTCAATTAATTGAAGACAAAACAGAATGGAAAATCCCAAATTGTATTCACATACTCTAAATTTTACAGGATTTGTATCTGGCGATATTGAAAAGAATCTGGCATGTTTAGACCTATCTTAAAATAGTAACCTTGATGTTTATATTTCAATACTAGGCTACTAAGTCCTGCATCACGCTATATCGTGAAATGTCTATGTTCCAAACGTAGAATGTCCCATTAACTACCCCATATACAAGGGTAAAGGCAACAAACAACGCCCTAACAATTATGGACCAATCTCAGTGGTATGCCACATTGTTAAAATTGTTGAAAAGCAAGTCCAAGACCAATTTATTACATATCTCAATGGAAATGACCTTAAGAAATGTTGCTTTCAGGAATTTCTTTATTCATTTATTTATAGGACAACATTCGTTGATAGCTATGCTACACGATGTATTATTATGTCCTGTATTTACCTTTCTTTGATGATTTATATATATATATATATATATATATATATATATATAATAGAAAATAATGAAACAATTTTGTGAAACAGTGCTCAATCCCACTGAAAAATCTATCTCTTATACACATCTAGATGTGTATAAGAGACAGATTATGCACTTGTCAATTGTAGTCCAAACTTCCATGGAAACTGCTAAGTGATACGCACGCGTAGTGCTTCCATCAAGGAACCTCATCTCCTTGGCCTAGCTCTCACGTTGCTTCTCCGATTCAGACCTACTGTAGGCTAAACCTTCAAGTAGGTTTTATCCTCCAATCATTTATTAGCGAGGCATTTTCCCAGGACTACGGCGGTGTGGCGGGGACTTAGCCGGGGATGTACATTAAAACGATGCTCCGCATTGCTAGGAGGTGGCCGGGACTCTCACATGCATGTAACCATTTTGGAAATTACATCCCCTGCTAAGTCCCCGCAAGGCCCAAAATGAGGATAAAAATAGGCCAGCAAAAACTTGCCAACTTTCAATCCTCCGTGTTTTTACAAATACTCAAGTTTATGAAGTCATTAACACATTGTACCCTTACAAATCTACAACAACTTTGCTACTATTAGATAGTAAAGAGGCCCACATTTGGCAAAGAGTAGAAAGAGGAGTCGCATGTGGATTATATATTATTGCCTATTAATATTTTACAAAAAATTTGTTTTACGATTGGCAAATTTTCCTCGGGTACAACGTACATAAATGTAGTTTCCGGTACGATCTGTCTCAGTGGAAACCATGCCTCAGATTGCAGTGTAAAATACGGTGGATGCTGAAGCATGGAAAATCTACTATAGGTTGCCAAAAAACCTGTGCCAATTCTTGTTCGTCAATATTCTCAAAAATTGTGGAATGCCAACTTGAAATTTTGTAGGCTGCATTATATGCCAGACAATATTACTATCATTAATTATTACAACGCTTACATTTCAATAATTCACATTTATCTGAATTGTTTACAATCCAGGCCATGTCAAAATTGTCCAGAAGTAAAGATACTGTAGCACATAGAAGAACTTTACTATTTTTTTTTATTTCGCTTTATCAAAGGATTTCATCCATGCTTTATCATTCATTGAAACTGATGCATGAATAACTTTCATTATTTACTAGGAATAATGTGCATTGTTTATTATGTTCCACTTGAAGGGCTTTAGCAACTTGTCAACGCAGATTGAAGTCAAGGTTCAATATGTTCAAACAAGAATGTAAAATGACAGCGCAAAAAAAAGCTTCTACATAT